CTGTTTAAGGAATTCTATCAGTTTCTCTCTTGTCGCGGGCTTGAGGCAGGACCTTATTTGTGTCTTTCTCTCAGGGTCGTCCGGATGTATCTATATTTCATCCAACTCTTCCATAGATGGTTGATTCGGCTCAGTCGGTGGGGTTGGATGAGACTGTAATTGCTATTAAGAGTTACCCTTGCCTTTAAAGGCATTCTTGTAGCAATCTCTGGAAGTTTTGGGGTCGCCCTTGATTTCTCATACCCCCCACTTGGTTGGAAACTTGATTGTTTGGTGGAAGGTAGATGGGACTGGCCGTATGTCGTGGATCCAAGGTCGGTCCAAGATGACGTTGTATGGTGAGGGGCAGTCGATTACCAGAAAAACGGTCTGTTTGTTCACTCCGCTGACGTAGATAGGAAGGATGATCTCCCCGATAGTATACTTCTGCTCAGAGTTGAAACCAACTAGGAGAGTCGGCCGCCTGTTGATGTTTGCCTCTTCCAGTCCCATAGCCTTCACTGCTTCGAGGAATAGGATGTTTGCTGAAGAGCCTTCATCTACGAATACTTTTTTCACTAGGATGTTGGCGATCTGCAGGGAGACGACTAAAGCATCGTGATGAGAAGCGGCCAAGGTGACCAGCTCGTCATCTTCAAATTGAATTACCTAATGGGTGTGTGACTGTGAGACCGGATGGATGGACTAGACTTCATGGTGGTGGTTGGCTCTGGCATATCGCTTGGCTGATGAGTAACTTACCCCATTGATCTCTGATCCTCCGAAGATGAGCAAACAGAATCCTTTTGGTGTAGGTTCTCGCGAAGGTGGTGATGGTTCTTTTGAACTTTTATGGCTAATGGTGTTTTTCCCCTTATCAGTTAGTAGATCCCGAAGATGTCCCCTCTTTAGAAGTGCAGCGACCTCTAGTCGCAAGGCGATGCAGTCTGCGGTGTTGTGCCCATAATCGCTGTGGAACTCGCACCATTTGGTCTTGTCTCTCCTCACCTCGGGATTGAGCTTGCCTGGCCATTTAACAGTAAATCCCATTCCTTTCATAATCATGAGGACCTGGATTGGTTCGACATTAAGGCTGTATTCCGATATTTTGTACCGGTTCGATCCGAACTGTCTACTCTCGGTTCTTGTTGGCTGGCGATCGTATGGTTTTTTTATTCTACTCAAATTACGTGCTGGTGGTTGGTAGCGGTGCTCCACTAGCCTATGCCCTGACTTCCTGTCATTCTGCCTGAAATCATATCTGGAGTGAACCGTCCAGTTTATCTCATCCTCCTCCCATCTTATCTGGATCACTGTCCAGGCCAGAGCGTCTTCCATTGTGGTGCAACCCAACTTTATAAGCTCTTTGTATAGTTCTCCATCTAGGAGGAGACCCTTCCTGAAGGCATCCACGGCTGTCTCAGGATTACATGCAGGGATGGAGATCTTCTCTTTGTTGAACCTGCTGACATAATCTCTCAGTGGCTCACCCCTTCTCTGGTATACTCTGTACAGGTCGGCTGACAACTTCTCGAGTTTCTTGCTACTGGCGAACTGTTCCACAAAGGTGTTAGTGAGTTGGGTGAATGAGTCGATGGATCCGTTTGGGAGATTCGTGTACCATTGGAGTGCCGGGCCGGATAAGCTCGAATTGAAACTTTTGAACATGCAGGCTTCCCTCAGCGGTCGGGGTATTGAGACGGTGAACAATGTGATCGTCCGGGTCAGTTGTGTCATCGTACAGTTTCATGTTGGGGATGGTGAACTTCTGAGACATGTCGGCTAAGGCGATCTCATCCACGAAGGGTGAATCCGCGTAACAGTAGGGCTTGCTCTTCTTGGTTGGGACTGACATTCCTGGGATACGTCTCATCACTGCTTCTACATTGGCCAATCTCTTGGCTAGTACCTGTTCCATAGGAGAAGGGGATGCCACTAGGTCTTCCCGCATGACCGAGTCAGCTTTGCAATTGTCTTCGGCACATTCCGTTGGACCGTCCTGCGTGGTGTGATTTGGTGATTCATTGCTTCGTGCATGCCTTGGTAGCTTGGATCTTCGTTCATTCCTTCTGGTTGGATGACTCCCATGGTAACAATTCTAGTGTTTCGCCCTACATGAATGGTTAGTGGAGTCGTCTGGTAGTCACTCAGTTTGTTAGGATGGATGGGCTCGAGCGTTGTGGTTTGTTGGGTTTGGTCGTTCAACCCGTGGGGGTGAGCCAAGCCGAATGGGGTTTGTGTTGGGAAAGCTGACTGGAGGTATGGTGGGACGGTAAGAATGGGTTGGTCTTGCGGGTTCAGGCTTTCTGTCACTGGACTGTCTTGATCTTGAGGCTGGGATGGGTCAGCTGGATGGTGTTCTGTTGGCATATCTTTAGCTCCATGTGTCAGGACAGAATCGTCAATTGTCGATGAGTTTAACGGACGTGGCCTTTTGTCAGAGACCAAGGGTCGGTGCTATGGCGTATGGAGAGGTTGCATGGATGGAACAGGGGCGCAGAACCGATTGGGGGGTGCCTGGCCAGGCAAGAACTCTAGATCATAGAATTGACTAACCTTCTCTTTAAGAGACTGGTTTTCTGACCTGATAGATGCGTTTTCGGTTCGGATTGCATTGTTCTCGGCTTCCAGTGCAGCTACCTTGTCCGAGTTCTGTTGCATAAGAGCGGTTAGAGCCTCCAGTTTGGCCTCGAGGCCAGGATTAGCACTGTCGGAGTTGTCAGCCATGGAAAGTTCCTCTACGTAGCAAGGTTCGTCGAGCCGAATGATTGCTAGAGGCCCCACAGTGGGCGCCAAACTGTAGATGTAAAAATCTACCTGTACGGAAAGGGGGTCTAATCCCATAAGGTTGAAGCCACTAGTGATCCGCTGCACCTGCACACGTAGAGAAACAAATGCGTGAAGCGAACGGGAAACACCGGGGTGGTGTTTGCCATAGGCACTCCGACACTCAAGTCAGCAAGGCTGAAAGAGGCTAGTATAGTAAGGGCTAGGGAGTAGACAAGTTACTGGAAGTCTAGTAGGAGACTGTGACTATGGCAGTAATGTGAAGCTCTCAAGTAGGAGCTTCGGGTGTGAAGGTGTAATGTAATGTGTCCTTTGTGAGAGGGCTGGCCTCTGTCTATATAGCGACTATTTGATCTCCTAATCTTGGTGGGATGAGGAGTCCTAGTGTGACTCTGATGCAAACCCTAGCAGAATTAGGGTCATGGTAAGCTGTCCTACCAGCGTCCAGATAGGAAGGTGATCCTGATTGGGAAAGTAACTTCGAGTAGGAATGTGTTCTAAACAGGAAAGTGATCAGTGGGGGCCATGGGCTCTGAACTTGCCTATAGGCCTAGGAAGTGAACTGGAACTGGGAGGCTCGTGCCCAGATGGTTTGGGCAAGCCATATCTTGTATCGAATGGAACTAATCTGGCTTAGGCCTCTTTGGGATTGGGCCTGGTTCTTCTTCACTGGTGGTCCTGTTTTCCTATTTGGGCCAAGGACGATTTTTGGCCCTAACAAGTATGAGATGTTAGTGGCTTTCAAACCACCCTACGTAGGACCCATCCCCCCCATATTATGTTATGACTTTGTGCATGCATAGGATTTGATTATGTCGGCCCGAATGGGTCGAAGGCCTAAGCAGTGTATAATCTCGCTTGACAGGATATGATTGGTTATTTGCCGGCCCAAGTGGGTCGAAGGCCCGAGCGGTGTATTATTCTACCTAGCAGGATTTGATAGTGCTGGCCCAAGCGATGCATAGTCTAGTCGGGTCAAAGGCTTGAGCAGTGTTTGATTCTGCCTAGCAGGATGGATTTAGTGTTTCAACTCACGCAATGTTAGATCTTGCCAAGTTGGATGGATTTACCCCAAGGTACTAGTTGGGTTAGAGTTTTCGCATGTGATTGAGAGATGGTTTGGATTCATATATCATGTATTTTAAATGAGAATTTATAAATGTTGTTTTAAAGGCATGAGAAATTTGAGATGCATGAGTATTAATTTGCAGATATGATTATTGGTTGTATGTTCTAAAATGTCATTTCAGAAACACTAGTTAAGCATTCATTAAGTGATAATGTGGATGTTTGTAGTATGATTTCTTTTTATAGATTATCATAATTAGATTCAATATTTAGTATCAAAAAACTATGGATTAATTTCATTAATCACAATTGCACGAAGTCTCTGTTACGTACATGACATTCATAGAGCATTATTTCTTTTCAGAGATACATGACTACTTGTGATGTTTTGATGCACTGCAGAAAATGTTTTATTACCTATGTTTATCTCATGCTTGATTGTAAAAGATATGAAAATCTAATACCGTACATTTTTCGTTTTTTTTTTTTTTTTTTTTTTATAAAATGTAGTGATATGGCTTTCAGATTTTTTTTTTTTTTTTTTTAAAACAAATATGTTGGTTGTATGTTTTTAAGATGAAACCAAGAGGTTGTTTTACGAAAAGTGCATCAAAAAATAGGTTTTTACAAGTTACAGATTTCACATGACACATCCGGCCGCCTAAGTCTCACCGAGTGCGTCTGGAGCCTGTGGGATAGGGAGGGTCGGGAGGTTGTGTCATATAGGTTTTACCACACACTCCCTACAATTAGCGAAATGTTAATAAATTATTAAAATTTACAACGTAATAAGTAAATTAATGTTTACCATTTTATCTCTGTACTGTTTATTTTAACACCAACAAAAGATTTTTGTATTTGATTATGGATAAACATTAGTTCACAATCCAATCTTACAAACTTTATTTCATAACTCGATGTAACAGTTTGCAATTAGTTAACTTATTGACGAACAGATGAGACCCATAATGAACTGACGAGATCCACTAATAAACTGATCAATTGCGAATTACCATATCAAAATTATAAGAAAAAATTTATAACATTAGATTGTGAGTATAATATTACCGGTTAATTATACCTCAGGGATTATTGTGATAAAATGTCGTATTACCTTTAATTTTTCAACCTAACAAACGAAATAGTTAAATTTCCATTAAATTCCCTCAATTTGATTTCTCAATACATCCGCAACAACAAATAAAAAAAGAAAAAACAAAAACAGAAAAACTCTCTCTTTTCCTCTCCTCTCCACCGTCGTTTCTTCTTCTCCGTTGTCGTCATTGCGGCCATGCGAAACGCACTGTGACGCAATTCAAAGCCAAAACGAAATAACGAAAAGCAACAGAAACAGCAGACGACAATGGCGGAAACGTTTCGAAAGCTCCGGAAATCGTTCTCTCTCAAGCTCTCTTTCCACGCCGGTTCCGGTTGTCCTCGTCCCTCCCATTCCGGTTCTCCAAGCTCCTCCGATTCCCATCGTTCGCATTCCTCCCTCACCGGCTCCGGCACCGGCACCGGCTCTTCCTCTCGTCTCTCTCGTAGCTTCAGCTTTCAGCCGTCTAAATCATCCAAGGTTTGCAGATTTTTTTGATTTTTGAACGCACTTAATCTTGTTTTTGTTTTTGCTTCGATTTCATGAAAACCGCCCGCGACCCTCCTGCTATTTGAGATTTTTTAACGAATGACCGTATTGCCCCTACGGTTTCGTTTTGACAGCGTTGTTTGTGAGGGTAGAATGGTTATTCAATATTTCATGTTAGGTCACTTTTGTTTAATCATTAATAATAGAATAAATTCGATCGTCCTGTTAGCGTTACGTGAAGATTTTGCTTTTTTCTAATTTCAACGGATTCTAGCGTGAAATCACGAAATTGCCATTGCCATGTGCATGTAAAGCTTGTTTTCATGGCGTCAAATCGTATCCGGATTCCAGAATGACAATATCAACCTGGATAAATGTCGTTTTTACTTGTGCGGTTTTGTCGTTTTGTGTAGTTGAATTGAATTATCTCGAAGCCACGTAAGATCTTGTGGGGTTGAGTTTGACATCAAAGGCAGCAAAATTTATCTTAATTAATAGTTAATTAAAAGGGGTTTATTGATTTTTAATTTCAAATTAGGCCTAATTAAAATGGATTAATTTTATCTTAGATTAAATTAGATTTTAATTTAGGTTGATTAAATTAAGCAAATTTGTTTAAGCTTGTAGTATTATTCTAGATTTTCTTTTTGATGTCTACTAAAAAGCATGAAATAGAGGTTATGAAATGAAGTTCTATTTGTTACTGTTTGGTTGTTGGGGTCATTAGGAGGGTAGGTCGATCTGGTCATATTGCATTCATCTTAGTAAGTTCTCAGAGTAGCATTAATTTGGTAGGTGAACATGTCTCTTGGTGGGTTTACCAGGAGACGTGAAAGTTTTAGTTTTCTTTTTCTATAAACGTTTTAGTTTTGTCTGGTGGATTGGTTTTGACTTTGGTGGTATGTAATTGTCATTAATTTCTCATTTTTAATCAGGAAAATTGCAGTAGTTGTTCTGGGTCACACCTATCTTATGCTGTTGAAGACAGCATTGTAGCTTTTTAGAATTCCATGATCAATTCTCACTTTGTTGAAAATTACGAGTGCTAGTTGTTCCTGCCTAAATTTGTATTACTTTTTATGCCTTTTTATTTCTTTTTATTTTTCTATTATGCATTCTAAATTTCATGTCATTTATTATTCTTGGACTTTGCCGCAAATATAGCTGATATCATATTCAACAATGAATGCAGAGTAAAATTTTGGTGGTTTAGACTTTAGATTGATACTACCGTAAAATTAGTAGAACATTGGTCAGTAAAACACGTTTTTCCTGTAGAATAGCATCAACTTCTGTACTATCATAAAATTAATGGCTGGAGAATCTTTTGTTACATTCAATCAAAGTTTACTAGTTGTTGAGCTTTAGATTAGAAAGTGCCCTATGTTTAATTTTAAGCATTATTACATTATTATGGTTGCAAGTGACCGGTATGATGCTATGAATTGTATTATATTAACTACTAATTATAAAGTCCGCAGCATGGGTTACATAAACTGGTATCTTTCAAACTGCGTTGTGACGAATCATACCATATATTATGCCCACAAACTGACTTCTAACTTGGGGTGGTCAGGCCTATTGCTAATGATCAATCTTTGGTTTAGTTTCCAGTGCATGGATTTCCATGGGTCACTATTTAATTAACAATGTATTTTAGGTTGTAATATTTCTTACTTTCTGTTTAAGTCCACATTTCTTTTTATAAAAACATTAGCATCGACTCTTTGAAAGTTGCAAGTTTGCTTTTTGATGAGTTTTCTGGTGCTGAATCTTTTGACCAGCTGAAAGAATCCTGGACAACTACAGTAAATTCAAAAACTAGATTGTTGGTTTGCAATTTATTTGACAGACATTGACATGTTTTAAAGACTAAAAACGTGAATATTATGCAGAAAACTTGTGCCATCTGCTTGGGTAGTTTGAGAACTGGACAAGGCGTAGCCATCTTCACTGCTGAGTGTTCCCATTCTTTTCACTTCAATTGCATTACAATCAATGTACAGCATGGAAATCGCGTCTGCCCCATTTGCCGCTGTGAATGGAAAGACATCCCCTTCCATGCCCCTGCCAATGTCGTTGATAATATTAGACGCATGGGTCATGGCTCCGGTCAGGCCGGGGTGACTCCTCACAGTACTACCACTCCCGTACAGCTTCCATCTGATCCTGACCATTACGCAGATGATGAACCGCTCCCAGTCAACCAAATTGGCCCAGCTTCGTCACCCTCCCACGCCCAAGCATTGACTGTTAAGGCCTTTCCCGAGCATCCTGCTGTCTCTGCCACAGATTCCCTTGACAAGTTTGCGGTTCTTGTTCACATCCGTGCACCATCTCTTCTCAGTGATGCTGATCATCTGGATCGTGCCCCCATTGACCTTGTCACAGTACTTGATGTTAGTGCAAGCATGTCTAGCAAGCTTACTCTTCTCAAGCAAGCTGTTCACTTCATTGTACAGAACTTAGGCCCTGCAGATCGGTTATCTATAGTCGTTTTCTCTTCAGTAGCTAGAAGAATTTTCCCACTTCAAAGGATGATCGATCGTGGTCGTGAGGATGCCGCCCTTGCTATCAATTCTCTAACCTCTAATGGCGGGACCAACATTGTGGAAGGCCTCAAGAAAGGGGTCCGAGTTCTTGAAGATCGCCGTGAGCGCAACCCAGTTGCAAGTATTATTCTCCTATCCGATGGTCAGGACACATACAATGTCCGCAGGCATAACAATTGTGTGCGGAATGACACATCGAGCCATGAAGTGGAATATCTGAACCTGTTGCCCTCTTTGATTTGTCCTCAGAACTCGGAACCCGGAGGAGAATCTCAACAACCAACCATCCCAGTCCACACATTTGGGTTCGGCTCGGAGCATGATTCCACTGCAATGCATGGCATAGCCGATGCATCAGGTGGTACATTTTCCTTCATTGAAACCATTGGCTTTTTACAAGACGCCTTTGCCAGGTGCATTGGTGGTCTTCTCAGCGTTGTGGCTCAGGATGTTCAGCTCAAAATCAGTTCAATTTCACCCGGGGTGAAAATTGAATCGGTACCTTCAGGTAAATACAAGAGTGACATTTTGATGGAAGGGCAGCAAGCCAAGATAGACATTGGAGAGTTATATGCAGATGAGGAGAAGGAATTCCTGGTGTACATCTCCATTCCGAAGTCGTCTTCGGAAAGTTCAGAGAACACGCCATTACTGGATGTCTTGTGCACTCACAAAGGCTCAGCTTCAATGGAGATTCTTGAAGTGAAAGGTGAGAAAGTCGAGATTCGAAGACCAGAGTTTTTGTCTACTGCAGACAAGGGGGTGAGTCTGGAGGTTGACAGACAAAGAAGCCGTTTACTGGTAGCCGAAACAATCGCAGATGCGCAAAGAATGGCTGAAATGGGAGAGTTAGAGGGAGCACAAGCTCTTCTGACTGAACGGAGATCAACTCTCTTAGCTTCAGCATCAGCCCAGGCAGGAGATGGAATCTGCAACTGGCTGGAGGCTGAGCTGAGAGAAATCAGGGAGAGAATGGCGAACATGGAACTGTATGAGCGAACCGGGAGGGCGTATATCCTCTCAGGATTGAGCTCACACTCATGGCAGAGAGCCACAACCAGAGGAGACACAACACAGACGTTCACCATGAGCAACGGCAGAGGAGATGAAACTACAAGCTATGAAACACCAACAATGGTGACAATGGTGTCGAGGTCTCAAAATCTCAACTTCACACGGGATCCTCAGTCTCAACCTGGAAGCCACCATAGCAGTAAGTCCAGCAGAATTTGATTCAGAAATTATGGTTAAAAAGGAAAAGGGGTTTTTTTTTTTTGCTTCATCTGGGTAATTAATTTTTTCTTCTTCTTGCTTTTTGCCTGGTTAATAATGAAAAAAACATAGCAATTGTTAATTGAAAAGGAAACGATGAAATGAAACCAAAGGTTTTAAGTATTCATTCAACTTCAACCCATAGTTATTCTTTTCTTGACTGTGTTATTAGCTGTTTATTTGCTTCTCGTTATTAACTTTATTCTATGGATTCCATTATTGTATAGAACTTATTATTATTTATTATTTACATTTTTTTATTAATTTGATCAAGCTTTCAACTATATATATATATATATATATATATATATATATAAATGCTACCCTTGTAAAGACTCATACAAAGAGTATATATATATATATATATGTTATCCTTACAAAGACTCATATAAAGAGGGTTACAAAGTAACGTCAGCAAGAAGAAAAAAACAAAGAAAAAACGGAAAAAGAGAGAGAGAGATAGAAATCATGAAAATCAAGGGTGAAGATTGTCTTTGTATGCTCTATTTGTATGTGTTTTTGTAAAACTAACATTGCTTTTATATATATATATACCAAAACTTTGTAGGTGCGAATGTCTTGGAATTTTAATTAATAAATGGATATTTTTCATTACTTAATGGAAATTTACAATTACAGTAACATCTCTCTATAGTCATAATAGTGGGATCAAACTAATTTATTACTATAAGTAAGTTATACCTTAATAGAGGACTATAATAGTGGGATCAAAATAATTTATTATTATAAGGAAGTTATAACTTAATAGAGATATAATTACAAAAATTAATATTTTGATTTCTTATTTTATAATTCATATTTTAATAATGTGTATTATGATTTTAATTAATTGTTTTAGTAGTATTGGTATTAATATTAGTATCACACAATTGTTCTGTTCCTACCACCGGCTAGCATTTGCAAAATCCAGTTGTGTGATGCAGACATCATTAGAAATTTCAAAGGTTATTATAGTCAATGTTTTAATCGCCTATTTTTGAAACGGATAGAAGATCATGTATTGGAACCATAAAAGAAAAGTATCCTTAATAAAACTGTAAATGTGGTTGCTGCATGGTCAATTGATGTTAAGCCATAGACAATTTGTCAATTTGTTTTAAGCACTGCAAAATTAGGATCTTCGGTGTCGATGAATTGCAAGTTACAAATAAAGTGGATATAAAGAATAAAAGACTCATTGCAGAATTGAGTGATCAGATTTGACAACTTCATTACACTAATCGGATGCATATTAATGTCTTTCTCGATCATCCAAATGAGCAACATGTCGTATATGCTTTAATTGAAGAAAAAATCATTGTTGCAATTAGACAAGAAGAGAAAGGAAATAATCATAAAGATGATAGTGTAGAAATACAAAAAGTTCTGTGCCATGAAGCTCTAAACATGCTTGAAAAGCTAGAAATATTTTGGTTTCAACAAGAAGATGTCCATGCTAGCGAATTATTACATACCCGCAAGTTAAAAAGTGTCGTAACAACTCTAAAGCTTAAATTACTGTCCCAAACAACTTTAGATAAATATTTTATTTCATTTTAAACATTTAATGTAATATAGCATATATTTTTTTGCAATATACAAATAATTATTACTATGTTGAGACAACTTTCCTTAAGACGGAAATTAGAAAAATTATAACTTATTATAATGTGGAGTTTATTCTTATTTATAACTATCCTAAATTGGGATTATAATTTTTTATGATTATATAGAGTTTATTCCTATATAGAGTATCACTATAGAGAGGTTTTACTGTACATAAATAAAGTATTTCTATAAATAAAGTGTCCATTTATTCAAGACACTCTCTCAAAAGTGTTGGTGAAAAAACAAAGGCCTTATTGATAGAAAGGCTATTTGCCTTTTTTTTTTTTTTTTTTTAAGTGTCATCTTTATGAACAAAGAAAATATAAGGAAACCAACCCTTGGGTGGCCAGACGGTCAACTGGGACTCTTGGGTATATTATTTAAGAAGTTTGAGTTCGATTCCCTTTTATTGCTAATAAAGGTAGCCACTAGAGGATTACTCACTCATTAACTTCAAGACCTTGGAGGATTAGTTGAGCTACGCAAGCTGGCCCAAACACCTTCGGTTACCCAAAAAAAATAAAAAAAATAAGGAAATTTATTGTATATACATTTAGTATAATATTGTATATTATTCCATATCATCAAGATTAATAAATACCTTTGGATGATGCTATTTCATAACCCCTTAAAAACAAGAGTACCTAATTAAAGGAGGGTAATTATTTATACTTTATCTTTTATTGCCCACCCTAAAAAAAAAAAAAAAAAAAAAAAAATCTTTTATTCACAATATTTTTGTGTAATCATAAATGTGATAATACCTTTAGGGTGTGTTTGGTTAGAGATAACGTTGGATTACTGAGGTAATGATATCTTATATTACTGGATTACCATATTTGGTTGTCAAGTAATATAAGATTCTGGTAATCTTAAAAAACCAATAATAGTTATTGTTTGATAATATTGGAGGTAATCTAATTACCATCAATTTCTTAGGTATTTTAAGATTACTTGGTAATCTTATTTTTGTTACAATTTTACTTATTATTAATAAAAATTTTAGACAATAATGCCCTTATTTTAAAATCAATTTACATTGATCCATCATTACAATTTGACCCTTGTTTAATTAAGTTTTTGGACAATAATGCCCTTATATTTAAAACAAATTGTAGACCACCATTGCCACCCAGCCACCACCGCCGGTAGTTGGCCAACCACTGCCTGCCGCTGCTGGGAGTCGCTGGGAGTCGTCGGGAGTTGCCGATATGGTCGTAGATCTGGTTGGAAATAGCTAGATCTATTCTGGTGATTTCCAATGACTCCTGGCGACTCCCAATGATGGTAGGCAGTAGTGGCTGGCAACTGACAGTGGCTTAGGCTGAGTGAGGATGATTTTGTTATAAATTGAAGTTTTATATAAGCTTGGGTGTTTCAGCTAAATCTGAAATGTTGGGGGTTAAAAAAATTATTCGAAAATTAATAATAAAAATAGTACTATATTAATATTAAAAAATGAGGGCAATTTAGTAATTTTAATAACATACCTACCAATTTATTCATCCTAACCAAATATATTAATATAACATACCAACCAATTTATTCTAATTAACCAAACACATTTTCCTAAATATTCCCAGTAATCTTAATCTAACTTTTCATTAATATAATATTCTCTGAACCAAACACACCTTTGGAATGTAATTAAAATAGTATTTTTAATAATTATTTATCCCATCCAATGCCTCAAAATATCTAATATTACCACAATATGTCACAAGACTTCCCTTCCTCAAAATCCTATCTAAAATTTTTAAGTTTTAACATAATTTGATTTCTATTAATTTTTTAAATCAAATTACCTATATATATAACTCAAATTTCAAGAATATATACTGTTTGTAAAAGTGCAAAGTTGGAAGGATATTTTCAATGTCCTCGCTAGAGTATTGGAAGAAATACATAAACACCAAACCAGTCAATTTTGAGAAATTCAATAAGAGTAATGTTATACTTACTCATGAACTTATTAACCGCTTTACTCACCTTTATTAAAATTATATATGATACCCGTGCTATGCTTATGGTACTCATACTATACTTTATATTTACACACATTATTAAGATGGTTAGTAAGTATAATATTATTGATTCAATAATAACAAGCCACCCTTATTTTTTTTTGTAAAGTACATAATTACACTTGTGGAATTAAAAGAGTAATACTACTCTTCCCAAATGATATCTCAAAACAATTAATAAAAGTAATTTTATCAACATTATATTTTGATTCAGTTTTTTAATCATAAAATTAAGCACCAATTTGATTTAGTTTTTTTTTTTTTTTTTTTTGTAGAATATATTTAATTAGTAGATTTGAATTAATAGTTTATTTTAAAAAGATATTGTCACCAGGAAAAACACGCGAAACATATTTTCGTTTTTGTATTATTGAAATATTAATTTTAGATAAACATGAGGAATGTGTTTTCATTTTTTGAATATAAATATTTTATGTTAATGATCCTTACTTATTTTCAATATTTTACCAAATACAAAATGATTAATAAAAGAACACATTTTTATATTTCTCAATTCTCAATTACCCAAAGCCGGTGAAACTGAAATTTCACTACTGCTCCGGGAGGTCAATGTAATTTTTGAAAATAGTCAGACCCCTCCCTCCTCAGAAACCCAAAACTATTAAAAATTATCATAAACACCCCTCCCAGCTCTAGGGGTGTTTTTGAAAAGTTTCAAAAGATTTCACTTTTCCAGTGTATCCAAAATGATTGGATTGCGTTACGAAAGCACCTCGAGAGACTCAAAACGACAGAGTTTAGCACCTTCTAATTCTATCTTCTTCTTCTTCATCATCATCATCTACTACAAAGTCCAAAATTGAGTTGTTGTCATTCTTAGTCTCTGGATAGTCAATGGAGTTGGAGGTGAGAGTGGTGGCAGGCATCGACAATTGCTTCGTTTCACTGCCTCTTAACTTAATCGACACCCTCCAGTCCACGCGCTCCGGTGTTCTCCCTCAAGTCCTCTCTCTGGAGCTTCGCTCACGCAGTAATAATGATCTCTGGGTCGTTGCTTGGTCTGGCGCCACTTCCTCTTCTTCCTCCATCGAGGTACGCATTTATGTGTTTAAATAATTTATTATTATTTGTTCGAAGCGCTTTTGTGGAAAAGCACTTTTTAGTTGAAGCGCTTTTTTCTGAGGAAAGGACTTGAAATTAATTTGTGCGATGTGAGAGATTTCTCGAAGAACGCCTTTGTAATTGGAGTATTTTTTGTTTATTGTTATTAGTTTTGAGTGTTTTTGGTGGAAAACACTTCTGGAAGAAGCACTTGAAAACGGTTTCTGAATAGTCAGAATCGCTTTCTTGAAGAACACTACAAAGAGTTTTTTGATTTTATGACAGCTTTTCTTTATTTTCCATTTTTATTGAGGATTATAAAATAGATACGGAAGTGCCGTTGAGCTCCAATTTATTATATTTATTTATTTTTTGTGCTTTTGAGTAGAAGTGGCTTTTGGCTTAATCACTTGTAGAAGTGACTTTTTTCTTGATTGCATATATCAAGGCTGTTTTGCTTAATCACCTATCTAGCAGAATTTTGGGGAAATGGCTTTTCTGATTCAGAAAATTTGTTAAAAGAACGTTTACAAGTGCTTCTCCAAAAAGTATTTAAACTAGTTTCTTTGTCTATTTCCATCAAGCTAAACACATTGGAAAGCACTTTCGAGTATAAGTGCTTATGTGTAAGCACCTAAAGAAGTTGTCTACAAAATTTGTTCTAGAATTTCTCTTTGTCTAACATTATTATATAAATACAAAAGTGCTTTTGGAGCTGCCAGACACACCCTTAAATTTCTCATTTCATTCAATTAAGTGCTGGTTATTGTGCTATGTAGGTTGCTAAACAATTTGCGGAATGCATATCATTGGCAGATCATGCAATTGTTCAAGTGCGAGTTGTATCTGAGATACCCAAGGCTACTTTAGTTACCATTGAACCTCTTACTGAGGATGACTGGGAAGTTTTAGAACTTAACTCAGAGCATGCTGAAGCTGCTATATTGAATCAGGTAGTCATTTAGTTTTACTTTTTCTAAATGCTCATATAACACTTGGGAATTCAATAGTGAAATTGTCAGTTCTCAGCCATCAATTTAATCGGAATAGAAAATCTTCATGCTTTTTGAATATTTTTTTGATAGGAGTGCTTTTTTGCTTTTTGAATATTATCCCAAGATTGCTGGATAAGGCTCATTACTGAAACTCTCAGACCTGTCTTTTACTTGATGCAGGTCAGGATTGTTCATGAAGCTATGAGGTTTCCTCTGTGGCTGCATGGCCGCACTATCATAAAGTTTCATGTGGTTTCAACTTTTCCCAACAAACCGGTGGGTAAGTTGATATGGACTACTTTTTATTGCAATTTGTTAATGTAATCTACTAAATCTACCAAGCTCTTTAATGAACTATGCTTGTACTTCATAGGAGTACTGCTTCCACTCTATGTACTGATTCTACTCTTCTGTGAATATTTTGATAACTTGTTCTTTTCTTGAGTCATCTGTAATAGTTCACAATCTTTTCTCTCTCTTTTTGCATTTTAGCTTTTAGGATGAAGGTATACTTTGTCAGTTGATGAAATGAAGCTTTGTTGTGCACAGTCATTATTATAAAACAACGAGGGGTATAGGGTGGTAATATAAGGATAAGTTACATTCAAGATGTTTTGGCTACTGAGTTAGGCCATGTAAAGACTTAAAGTTTCATTTTCTCTGGTACTTTATGCCATTTAAAATATATTCTCTCATATTTTTATTGGAAAAAAAAAAAATTAGCAATGCCCGTCATTGTGTTTTAGGTAATGTTCTATATGATGCTTGATGATTTTAATGTCTGAGTACTGGAGTTATGTCTTAATCTTAACTTATGAGATTGTTTGCAGTGCAACTTGTACCAGGAACCGAAGTTGCAGTTGCTCCTAAAAGACGCAAGAACAGTGTGAAGAAACTTGAAGACTCTTACATGCAATCTTCTAAAAACAGAATCACAAAAGCAGTTTTGCGTCTTCAAGATTCAGATCAAAGATTGTTCCATAGCTGTTGTGTTAAAGGTGTTGAGCTTGGAGTAGCACTCACTTCAGTTGCTTTTATTAATCCAGAAACAGCTAAATGTGTTTCATTAGATTCCCTTCAGTTGGTTGCGATAGTGCCTAGATTGTCATCTAAAGAGAGCATAAAGAATCCAGAAAACAGTGCCCCGCAAATTAAAAACAATTCAACTTCAAAGGATGTTAAGGGTGGAATTTTAACTGAAAAGAAAGGAGATCGTCAAGCAATTGTTCGTCTTCTAGTTTCAGATTCAGTGGCTAAAGGACACGTAATGATTGCTCGATCTCTTCGCCTTTATTTAAATGCAGGGTTGCACTCATGTATGTTGGTTCTTCCAATCATCTAATTAATCATTATACTCAGCTTCCTTTCTTTGAACTCTTTTTTTTTTGTATTATTAAATATCCTTTTTTATGATGTTTTCTTAATGAAAGTTCTCCATCATTACAAAACATTATGGATGCAGATGTAATGATAATTAGATAAATTCTATAGTTTGGTGAGAGTAAGATAAGATATATGGAAAATGAGGGTGTGTTTGTTTTATTATTTTGGATAGGATTTCTGAAAAAGTTAAGTTAGGTGGTTATTATGAGGTAGGATTTGAAAATTAACAAAAACACCCCAAGTTTGTTAATTTAGCTAAACACCCTTACAATAAAACATTGAAAATTAACAAAAACACTCCCACCTACCTATTAAATGTTGGCAGTCGGCCACCACTGTCGGAGGTGGCCGGAAGTCGTCGTAATGGTGCACAACCGGTTGGATCTGATCGGTCGTGCGTCGATATGACCTTTTCCGGCTACTAGGTCTGGCCACATTTAGTCGTCAACGACGGCTAAATCGTTGATGTTCAGTGACGACCAGATCTTTGGTCATAGATTTGGACCTTTTTCAACCAGATCCACGGTGGATTTGGCCGAAAAAGGATAGATTGGTGCACTACCAGCCAAATCTAGACGATAGTGCGCCATTTCGCCAGATTCCGGTCACCTTTCAACAGTGGTGGCCGGAATCTGGCAAATGTGGGTGGGTGGGGGTGTTTTTGTCAATTTTTAAACTTTTTTTTTTTTGTTGGGAGTGTTTAGTTAAATTAACAAACCTAGGGGGTTTAAAAATAGTTGAATAGAATAGAATTAGATTTTCATAATAGGGAAACAAATACGTATTTTGGGTAGGATTTCAAAAATCCTACCCAAAATAACAAAACAAACACACCCAGAATTATTCAGCCTGCTTCAGATGCTATATCGTTGGGATAGTTTCTCATCTACATGCATCAATCCTAGTATATCTTTGCCCATCTTTCAATATGTGTTTTCTGTTGTGCATTGCTCTTTCTTTTTCCGCATTTAGCAATTTGAGCACATTTTGCATTACTTCCAATTGTGAAATGTTGTCATGCTCATCTTGTTTTGAGAATTTGATTTTCTTTTAGAATGCAGATTCACATTCAAAAACTTTAAGATCTTGTGGTACTTTTGTATTTTAGATTTCTTTTCTGTGTATAATTTCTTTGAAACTTTGACCTCTGTTAATTTGGATTTAATGGCAGTAGCATCTGCTTAGTATGTACCCTTCTGTGGCTTCATTTTCTGTCTCTCTTTAAATTAGCTGAAATTGTCGTATTAAGCGTGCTGCTTTTATGAGGAGAGGACTGACTAATATCTTATTGTTTAAACTTTTAAATGTTCAATGGTCTATTTGCACTATTTCATATGTCAAATCCAGTTTTTCAAATGAAAATATTTTCATTGCAGGGGTCTATTTAAAGGGAGGCATTGTTAATTTAAAGAAAGAAATTCCTGCACTTTCACTATCTCCTTGCCACTTTAAGATGTTGAGGAAGGATAAAGCTCTTGATATCTTTGATAGCCATAAAAATCACAAGAAAAAGGACATATTTGAGCGAACTAGGTCAGGTGCCGAGAAGGATGTTATGGATTTTTTGGCACAAGATGAAGTTGTTGCTGCTCTTTCTTCTGAATCATCTCCTAGAGAGGATGAAGAGAGTGTTTATCAGTCTGATAATAAGAGGGGGTTAGAATGTCTTTTTCATACTTGGTTGCTCGCACAACTTGATGTTGTTGCTTCAAATGCAGATTCAGAAGTTAATTCATTGGTTTTCTCAAATGAAACTTTGCTTCACTTTGAAGTTAAAGGATACAAGTCTGGGACTCGGGAAAAGTTACAGGTGTCATGTAATGGCTCCATAGAGAACAGAAATAAGACTAGAGATCCGCGAGTGGAAATGTTCTATGTATTGACTATCACTGATGAATGTTTGCATGGTAAAAAAGTCAATGCATATGAGCTTACTGTTGATGAAAGAGACAAGCAGTACAATAATTTCGAAAGTGTTGGTCGGTTGTTTGGAAAGCTGAACTTTGGTGACCCTGTATCTTTCTATTCTTTGAAAGAGAAAACCTCTACCCAAGGCTTAAATTCAAATCTATCTTCTTTGAGCTGGATGGGAACAGCTGCTTCAGATGTTATTAATAGTAGGTACTTTCCCCATAAAGTTCTTTACACCTCTATGTTTTTGGTGGTCAGATAACTCTTTTTATTTGAAACTTCTTCACATCATGAGCAGAGATCGTAGCAATTTTTATTCAGTCTTTTTTTACTTTTGTGCACATACATGCTCACACACTTACACACACTTGCCATGTGCATAAATATATATGTAGACATAATGATGAGAGCAGCTGAAAGTTAGGTTAGGGATTGTAGTCAGCTAGTGGGCAGTCTTACAATTGTATTAACACATCTCAGTTTCTCATATATTAAGTGAATATCTTGAAATAAACTATTTCAGCATTTTCTTGACCAGTTATCACTTGTAAGAATATGGATTCACCCATTAACAAACATACCGGAAATGAATAATTGCTGAAAATATTGATTTTTCTGCACTAAATTGCAATAGCAAACTCGCATTATATCTCATTGACTCTTCATGTGGGCCCTGATTGGAAAATTATTATTATTCTATCAGCTATTTACTTAGTACTTACATGTATTGTACACACTAATTTCCAATGTATATAGATTTTTCCACCCTTTCTGAGAAAAGCTGGTTTCACATGATGTAAAAACTGCTTTCATGCAGGAATTCGGGTGTTGTTATCTCCCACTTCTGGTATGTGGTTTAGTACCTACCATCTTCCTCTCCCTGGACATGTCCTCATTTATGGACCTCCTGTGAGTTCATCTCTATTTTCTCGTTTGGAGTTGTTGTTTGATTTTTAAAGGACCCAGTTACCATATCTTTAATTTTGAATGTCATTAGCATAGAGAAAAATCATTACACTTTTATGCAGTTATTTTGTAATTTGGATATTAGCATTTTGCAATTCTTGTTTTTATGTGTTAATGGGATTTCCCCTAGTTTAGTGCACGTACCATGGTAAGACAACGATTGTGATTTAACTTTCTGTGAAAATGTTGATTTTTTTGCTTTCTCTTTATTCAATACATGCTATTAACACTGGTATCTGTGGTTTATTCCCTTCTCAATAATGTTGAAGTGGAATGTATACATAACTTATTGCCGTATTTGGTTAGTGCTTTTAAATCCAGTTTTTTGGAGTGACATTAGCGACAAATAGAACTGACGACTAACTTTCTGAAAAGTATAATTACAACTACACAATGCACATCTCCTTCAAGAACAAAATATTTCGTTCAGTTTTTGCTGTCATATCTTCAAAACAAAGTTTTGAATTTTTTGTTCCTCTCCTGAGATTTTCAGAACCATTGTTTCTGATTCTTGTTAGTGCTTTAGTATATTCATTTACATTCTTTCAGCTGATTGCATATTGGTTAACTAATAAAGTTATTATATTTTGTCAATAGGGCTCTGGAAAGACATTATTGGCAAGCACTGTTGCAAAATCACTTGAAGAACATAAAGGCCTCTTTGCACACACGTATGTAATTTAATGTGCTATCTTTCGTTTTTCTTAATTCCTTATTTATATTGTGGAATGCTACTAATTAATAAGGAAACTCTGAATTATTATACACTCTCTGAATTCATCTTCATTGCTACTGATTTTAGTTGATGGTTATAGTTAGGGTGCTGAGATTGAAACAAGTATATATTACTCTGACTAGGGCCTTTGTGTGCAGAGTTTTTATACGCTGTTCTAAAGTCGCTTTAGAAAAGGGCCCAGCCATTCATCAAGCACTTTCTGATTTCATATCTGAAGCCTTGGATCATGCACCTTCCGTCGTCATCTTTGATGATCTTGATAGCATTATTTCATCCTCGTCTGACTCAGAGGGATCTCAATTTTCAACCTCTGTTATTGCACTTACTAAATTTCTTGCAGACATTATGGATGAATATGGGGTAATAGCTTGGGCGTGATGATCATTTGCTACAATGGTCACACTGTAGCTGTTGTTAGTACTTTTTGGTTTGATTGTCTCTTTGTGCGTGTCACTTAATTTATTAATATAGAAAAAGATCTATGTTGAGATCAGTGTAGGAAAACCAGATGAATAGGACAATTGAGGATTTTGTTATGCTTTTCTTTTTGGTGTCAGATTCATCCCCAGACTAGGTGGTGTCTATGAGGGATAAAAAAAATACGGGAGACATAGAATTTTGCTAATTGTAGTTGGATTTCAATCTTTTCTCTCTATGTACAACCCAAGACCTAGTTATTTCATTTGTACCTATTCTTAACAAACTTATCTACCATTTGGTACCTGTTCTTGGCGATGCCATTTCCATATCTCTTTTTAGTTTCTAATTCCTGTCTAATAGGTGTTGGTAAATCTTCTAATCAGCTAATCAGTTTCATTGGTTCACTGAATAGGAAAAGAGGAACAGCTCATGTGGAATTGGTCCTATTGCCTTTGTTGCTTCTTCTCAGTCTCTAGAGAACATTCCACAGTCCTTGACCTCATCAGGTTTGCCTCATATTGCCTCAAGGATTAATATTTGCTTATTTTTAGTTAAGATTTAAAGAAATTGAGATTCAGGGTTTGCCTTTTATCCTTTTATTTATTTTTTTCGTTTCCCCTCCTATTCTTGATTTTGCATTTATGACTTGATTAGGAAGGTTTGACTTCCATGTGCAACTTCCTGCTCCTGCTGCCACGGAACGTAAGGCTATTTTAGAGCATGAAATTCAGAGGCGATGCTTACAATGTTCTGATGAAATTTTGCTAGATGTGGCTTCCAAATGTGATGGATATGATGCCTATGACCTGGTATTTTCTAGTTTTCATTGATTATTTTAAATTAGTTTTATAGTTTGAAAAGATCTGCGTTTGGTGCCAGCATCAGTAATTGTTTTGTCACTTTCTGGTTTTCATCTTTAGTTTATCTTCTTGTTGTTTTTCTTTCCCAGTAGATAATGCTCGTATAAGTGATGATAATGAAACATGCTTATCAGTCTTATCATAATTTGGAGACATGGAATCACCTTTATACAAAAGACAAAACTAATGTTTTTCAAAGTCAACTATTTGCAGGAATATAAAAGATGCTTGCTGAAAATATTTATCAAGTCATTTGAAAGAAGTTCTTCAATGCATTTGCGTAGGGGAACTAATATTCTTGTGCTTGATTTTCTCAAAATTGGTTGTGTTCAATGCAATACATGCTAAAATATTTATATATTTGACTTAATATTCTTAGAATAAGATATTACTTCTTTTCATTTGCCTGCATAGTATTTTGGATTTTTTTAATCATCATTGTCATTAGTTTGCTTGCATTTAGCTTATATTTCCATATCAATTGTTGCTATGGAAATTTTTAATTTTCGATACATTATTCTTCTACCATAGTCACTTTGTTCTAGTGATGTAACTGTCTTTGGTTTTACCGCTGATTGTGTAAATTAGTTGTTATCATGGTTAAAGATGAGAGATTACGTGTCACTGTTGCCCTCTTCTTTAATGAATTTATTGACCTTTGTTTTCTACTGCATTTTTAAGATAAAGGAGTAACAATGTTTCAGGAAATATTGGTTGATAGAGCTGTTCATGCTGCTGTTGGCCGTTTTCTGCCTTCTGATTCTGGTGGTGAAAAGAACATTCATCCCACATTAGTTAGGGATGACTTTACTCAAGCTATGCATGATTTCCTTCCAGTTGCTATGCGAGACATTAGTAAACCTTCTCCTGAAGGTGGTCGCTCTGGGTGGGATGATGTTGGTGGTCTTAATGACATTCAGAATGCGATCAAAGAGGTATTATTTCTTTTACTTCTGATCTTCTAAGAAATGCAAGGCTAATAGAACTCCTTTGAACTCAGAACATTTTGATATTTTATTGCTTCCTTGAGTTGATAGCTTATTGGACCTTTTGAAGTATGAGCCCTATTCGAGTGTACATTTGTACGCTTTAGATTTTAAGCTTGAAATATCAGATCATCAAAGTTGAATAATCATTGAAAAATCTTTGATGATAAACAGTGCATTCAGTCTCTTCTAACATCTGCAGTTTAACTAATAAAAGTTCCTGTTTTTGGAGTTAATTTTTTAGTGTGTCCTGTGTAATGTACTAAATGTCAAGTTGAATGAGCAACTATTCTGAAAAGTTTTGCTAGATGCAAGGGTTGGTTCAATAGTCCTACTTTTTATCTACAAGATGTCAATGGTTTAAATCCTCTTGGAACCACATATTTAAGATATTATATCTGTTAGGTTTTCTAACAACTAAAGGTTGTAAATAGTTTGGGTTCTGAACTTGGTGCTCATGCCAAGGGGTTTTTGGATTATAAAAAGGAAAAAATGAAATCCATTTGTCTATTTGTATCATATATCTGTTGCTGATTCTATATTTAATTGTCAGATGATTGAATTGCCTTCAAAGTTTCCAAATATCTTTGCCAAAGCTCCTTTACGTTTAAGGTCAAATGTTCTCTTATATGGTCCTCCTGGTTGCGGAAAAACTCACATTGTTGGTGCTGCTGCTGCTGCTTGTTCTTTACGATTTATATCAGTGAAAGGGCCTGAGCTGTTGAACAAATACATTGGTGCTTCTGAGCAAGCTGTAAGATGGCATTAAGCCTTTTCTTTTTATCTATATTCCATTAAATCCTGTTCAATTGTATATTATTCTTGACATTTTGATGATACATAGTAACTAATAATGTGTCTTATGAAATTCAGAAATTTCAAGCCATTGTTCTCTGCTAATGTAATTGAGTAAATATGAAAGCCTTTTATAGTGTTATTTTCTTATATATTCTATGATTTAGTTCTTTGTTTACTTGTGAAAGTTATTTCCACAATTGAGTTGTTCAAGTCTGGCGCAAATCACTGATGCAGAATGAAGATTTACAAATTTTGTATTGAAATTATTTTGAGTTTCTCAGTAAGACTAAAATTTTCCTCAAGTGACATTCCTATTACTTGATTACTGAACTTGTATTTCGTGTTCTTTCTCTAGTCCTACTTAGTATAAGGTTTTTAGATTTGGATTGTATTTCCCCACAGATCTGTTAAATTAGCCAACAACATATACCAAGAAGTCCTTTTTAATGAAGGTCAAGGTTAATGACTAGCATGGTCTAAATCAGCTGTTATCATGAGCTAACTTGTGTTTTTTAAATTATTATATGGTAGTTACTTCTCCCTCATACATGTTCATAATCACCTCAATACATTCAAACAAAATCCTCTGTTCTTTCCCCCACAGGATCCTATAATGTGTGTTTCTTTGTCAATGAACACCAAGTTGCGGTCCTTCATACATTTTTAATTTTTACAGAACTAATTGAGTGCCCACTAATGCCTAATCACTGGTTTCAGGTCAGGGATATATTCTCAAAAGCAGCCGCTGCAGCACCATGCCTCCTCTTTTTTGATGAATTTGACTCTATTGCCCCAAAGAGAGGGCATGACAATACTGGAGTAACTGATCGTGTTGTTAATCAGGTCAGTTTAGTTTCTGTCCCATGTTATACCTGCTCCTAGTTGATTTTCTCATAGTTATGTTTTTATGAACAGTTTCTGACTGAATTAGATGGTGTTGAAGTTTTGACTGGTGTATTTGTGTTTGCTGCAACAAGGTTAGTTCTCTTCGGAGTGTTTCAGTATCGTTTCAGTTGCTTCGTTTGATGCTTAACTGCTCTGATCAACAATATGAATACAAAGTTTACCTTTTAGCATTTCATTATTGTAGTTCATGTTGTGTTTTCGTTTTTTCAGTTTTTAACTACTTACATCTCTTTGATGGAAAATTGACTCTATTAGTTTCCTTGTCAAGCAGTAGGCCATCTACTTGATGCTGCGCTGTTGAGACCTGGTAGACTTGATCGTCTTCTTTTCTGTGATTTTCCATCTCCACGTGAGAGATTGGATGTTCTTAAAGTTCTTTCTAGAAAGGTTTGTTACACTTTCTACTTAATGCATGTTTATTTATTGAGTAATTCTACTCATCCCAAGACATGTCCCAAATTTTAAATCCCAAATGATGTGTCATTATATGTGGCATTGCCATATCATTCAATGGTCATCACGTTATTTTCATGTCAATGCCACATACGATGACATGTCACTTGGGATGCGAAATTTGGAATAAGTTTTGGAAAGAGTAGTATTGCTGTTATTTATTTATTTGCTCATTCCTGTTTTGTTGACCTTTACATCTACCATTATATCTTCATATTTCTTCTCTGATAATATGCTAAGGATTCTTGGATGACGGTTAAAAGATGTTGGGATGGAGGCTTGTTTCTCTTGATTTTAAAGGAGCATATATTGTTCTAAATGGATTGATTTCTCTAGTTTTATCACCTGATCCTTCCATTCTGCTTTGCGTAAATTTATGCAGTTACCATTGGCCGATGATGTCGATTTAGATGCCATAGCTCATGTGACAGAAGGATTTAGCGGAGCAGACCTCCAAGCTCTTCTCTCAGATGCACAGCTTGCAGAGACATTATGTAACTACTAATTAGCATAGATTTTTGCTTTTTATTATTACTATTGTTATTAGCTAATCTTATCAACATTAACTGAAATGTTTTTATTTAATTAGAATAGTTAAAAGTTATAGCAAGTTTAGTGCTAGTTGCATGATTGACTAAGGATAAATTATTATATTGTTATATATAATGCAGTGTATAAATTAACCACTAAATTTTTTGTCATCAAAAGATACATTTGGCCACTAATAAAATAGTCACGAAAACCTATTGGATTCTACATTCAGCGTCTAAAATGACTATAATTAACCACTAAATTTTGGTCACCAAAAGATACATTCGGTCATTAATAAAATAGTCATGAAAACCTATTAGATTTCATATTCAGTGTCTAAAATGACTATAATTAATTACTAAATTTTGGTCACCAAAAGATACATTTGGCCACTAATAAAATAGTCGCGAAAACCTATCGGATTCCACATTTAGCGTCTAAAATAACTATAATTAACTATTAAATTTTGGTCACTAAAAGATACATTCGGTCACTAATAAAATAGTCGTGAAAACCGTTTGGATTTTACATTCAACGTCTAAAAGTATAACAATTAACCACTAAATTTTGGTCACCAAAAGATACATTCGTCGACTAATAAAATAGTTGCGAATACTTTTGACGAAATTACCCTTACACATTTGGCGTCTAATTTTTGTGGCATTCGCGACAAATTATTAGACACTAAAAGGTACATTGTGATTTTCTGCGTCTAATTTTGCTAGACACAGAATGCCAATTTTCTTGTGATGCATATACACTGTTTCATTCAAGATTCCATTTAAGAACACATTGTTTGCATCAATTTGTTGAACATCCTAGGAATTGGTTACTACTAGGGTAAGTATAATCGTAATGGTAGATGGCTTAATTACTAGACTAAATGTTTCAAAATGGTCCAAGCCAGGTGTTTGTTGAAAACCCTTAGCTACCAACCTTGCTTTATACTTTTGCAATGTGCCATCTGCATTGATTTTGGTCCTAAAAACCCACGTGTTCCCTACAATATTTATATCAAGTGTTGAAGGGACAAGGGTCTAGGTGTTGTTATGCACAAGTGCATCAAATTTAGCATGCATGGCTGCTTTCCAGACATAACTAAGAAGAGTTTCAACTACTATAGAGGTTCATATTCAATTACATTCTGACCTGTTGTAAGGTAGGCTTGATGAGGGAGATCATAAGTACTATGGTTAAGAGCACTTGCAGCTGATTTTGCTCTTGTTATCGTGGGATGAATGTTAAGAGTAGAAGGGGCAGGAACATGAACATCAGATGCCAAAACATCAAAGAAATGTGTTAATGTAAGATCAACCTCAAGTGAGCAAGTGGATAGAGTATCAGATGATGTAATGGTGGGAAGATTTTGTACAGCAAGATCAGGACAATATGAAGGTTTGGAGGATATGTTCGAGGCCTTTGATTTTGTGTTTAAGAACTATGTGTTTGGAGCTGTGTGTAAGGAATGTGTGTTAGCAGTTGTATGGTGGGGCTATGTATTTGTGTTTAAAAGTGTGATTGAAGTTATGTTGGCTGGTTGTGTGTTTATTGTATTATGAATTGGGAAATCAGAGCTGTCAGATATTATAGGCATTGCAGAGGATGATGTGAAAGGTCTTATTGGAGTAAGATACTTTGCTGCTGTGTTGTTATCAGAAACTGCTATGTTGTGATGAGTAGTCTTATCACAAGAGCTAATTACTACTGGAGTACCAAGGTCAACTAAATTTTGCGTGGGAATTGAAGTACTAGGGTCAACTGAGGGTTGTGTGGGAATTGAAGTAAATAAGTAGGTGTAAGTGGGTGAAGGGTTAACACAATTAGGTTGTGATTGATCAGATGATGGCAGGATATTAGACTTAATAAAATCACCAATTGAAAAGGAGAAACTCATCCTCATTGAATTTCACACTAGGAGTAACAAAGATTTTACCATCATTTCTCAAATACTTATACCCCTTATATACTAAACTATATCCTACAAATACACATTTAATAGAATGAAAATCAAACTTGTGACTGTTGAAATTTCGAAGATAAGGAAAGTAAGCACAGCCAAATATTTTTAAGCAATCATAAAAGAGTTCTTTGTTAAACAGTGTGTGATATGGTGTATCATTATTTAGAACTATAGTAGGCATTCTATTGATTAGATAGGTTGCTATTTCAAAAGAAAGCCACCAATAAGTAATGGCATAGAGGCATGTGCAAGTAGGGTGAGTCATATCTCTACAATGTGTCTGTGCTTCCTTTTACTGCGGCCATTTTGCTAGTGAACATAGGAAAAAGAGTGCCTATATTGAATATTAGTTTCATGAAGATAAGGAATAAGGGCTTTGTATTCACCACCTTGGTCTGAATGAAGACATTTCAATTTTGTTCCAAATTGTCTTTCGTGTTGGAACTTGATAAAGATATATTTAACTTTAACTTTAGTTTTGAGAGAAAAAAAGCCAGGTAAACCTACTAAAGTCATCCAAAAATTGGATGTAGTACCTAAATCTCTCAATAGAAGAAATTGGGGTAGGACCCCACACATCATTGTGAACAAGTTCAAGGGGAGCCAAAGAATGAGATTGGGACAAAGGAAATCTATTTTGGTGTAGTTTTCCTAATTGGCAAGCATCACAAAATAAAGGACTAGTCCCTAATTTTCAACTTGAGCAGAGGCAACACCTAAGGAGTTTTTAATTTTGACACAATTTTTTTGTAAAATAGGGAGACTAGGATGTCCTAACCTCTTATGCCAAATCATGTACTGATTAGTACCTTTATTAGTAGCCAAGCAAACAGTCTTAAAAACATCAGAATTGACATAGTTATTGACATTATCACAAGTAGCTAAATTTTCAATAGTATTGAAATAATCATCAATATTGGCATTACAATCATCATAATCATTATAACAGGTAATAGCATGATCATTCACATTACTATAGGCATATTCTCCAGCAAGTTTACCAGTGTTACAAATATCAAAATTGGCAACAACATTATAACAAGCAGTAGGTCTTTTGTAACAATCAGCAGAGTTTGCAACAGAATTTGCAGTAAGATAGAAACAATTATCAACAATCTTATCACACACATCACAATCATTATAACAATCAAAAGTAGAAGCAAGTGTAGGTTCAAAAACATAGATATAATTCATAAGAGTAATAGTATACTGCAAATTAGTTCCAGGATCTAATGCAGACTTTGCATTGCAAAGTTGTGTACATTGAGACATGGGGTAAGGGTAATTTGACTCAACTAAGCATGTAGAATTCTTAATAGAAACTGAAAGTGACTGACTTAAGTTTGAATTTGAAGGCTATGTAGTGACATTCAAGTATTATGGTGAATAAGGTGTGTAGTGAGCTATACAAGCAGACAAAGGCTGTGAAGAATAAGGGATATTCAGGTGATAGAGACCTCCTTTAAGGCCCCCTTGTAGTAAAGTTGCTTTTGTGGAATTGTCCTTGACAATACAACAATTATCATCAAATTCCACTACAACATTGTTATCTTTTGTAAACCTAGATACACTAAGCAATTTTTTGGTGATTTTAGGAATACATAAGATATTCTGAGATGTAAACATTTGGAATGTAAAGTAGGAAAAATAGAATGACTAGTATGTGAAATTGAAAGATACTCACCACTACCTACTTGAATTTGCTCCTCACCTTCATAGTTCTTGCAAATGTTCAGTTGATGAAGGTTTGATGTGACATGGTCCATGGCCCTTGAGTCCATATACCATGCAGGATTAGTGGGGGTAAAGGTTGTAGCTACAACTGCAAAGTGTATCTACTGGTTGTGTGGTATCCCTAAGTTGTTATGGGTTCCACCAGTGTGCACAGGAATGGAATTCATGTCAGTGAGACTATGACCAGGTTGGCTAAGTTGTCTATGACCAGTGGAGACAAAGTTAGCTTGGCTAGTGCCTATTGACTATTGATTGGGGACACCAAATGTGGCATTATGTGACAGACCATGGCTAGGCTGAGCAGTAGAGTTTTGTTGATGTTGATTGTAAATCGGTTGGTAAGGGGCATTTGTCATATGAACTTGAGATCCACCATGTGGGAGTTGATAAGGACCAACTGAATAAGTGTATTGTGATGGTGAGTCAGCATAGGAACCTTAAGTTGTGTTTCTAGGAGATGGCAAACCACCAGTATAAGAGGAATTAAACCAAGGGTAGCACTGAATAGCTAAATGACTATCTTTGTTGCATACTTGGCATATAAGTCTACCTCTACCATATCCTCTACCTCTACCTCTTCCATATCCTCTACCTCTACCTCTTCCATAAGATATAGGGCCACCAAGTCGAGAGTTAAAGCCACCAGTGTTATGGTAAGCTGGAAAAGGCTGAGGTGTAGTTTGAAAAGGTTGAGGTGTAGTATAATTTTGAGGTATTGGTGTAGTATAATGTTGAGTTGTTGGTGTTTGGTAGAAGGTAGGAACTGTGTATGTTTGTGGACAGTAAGGGTTGCCAAGTGAGATTAGTGAAGGTACAACATTATTAATATGTTCATCATTTTTGTCATTCCTCTGACTAGATTGGCTAGACAAACCAAGATTGTTAAAACCTCTAGAATTACTAACAACACAAGATTAACTGAGCTATTATGCAAGTCGACTGAATTAAACTTGTCAAGCCTTATTTCATATTTCTACAATAAGAACCGAGCCTCTTGTATTGTGACATTGTCAATTTTGGATTCTAACCTAGAAGTGAGTGTAACCACTGCAAGATCGTACTTAGGTCCTAAACCATAAAGCACATACTATAGCAAATCTCCATCCGATATAACTATCCCACTAGCAGACAAATTTTCTACAATCTCTTTCATCTTTTTGACATAATCACCAATATTCATGTTTCCTTTATGAGTGGTTTGAAGAAAATTCTTAAGATGAAGAGCCCTAACTTTGGAGTCTGTTACAAATTTATTTTCTAGAGCTAACCAAATTTCAGTGGAAAATCCGCATTTGGACACATAGCTAAACATTTCTTTACAAATCGAAGCTAATA